GATCATTACTTTTATTTACTGTTCCAAAACTGTAATATTATGTTAACATAATAGAATTGAATGGTCTTGAGTAGTTACAGGTTTGGTGTTTTTTACTAAAAAAAATAGTGACTAAATACTTATAGATCTGTGATCTCGTGAAAATTCGCTTATCATCTGCATAAATATTTAATTAACAAGTGATTTGAAGTAAGAAGATTTGGTCAACTTAAAACCTTGCTAATGTGTTTTGTGATTTGGATTTGTTCTTGATTTAAATATTTTTTCACTACAAGATCTATTTTTCATTACACTAATTTCAGGTTTTCTATTTTATCCTTTTATATCTCATTTGTTATATTTACATGAAACACTATGGTGAGAAAGTAGTTTTAACGGGAAACATTGAAAAAGATTTAAAATAATAGAGCTCTTATTTTTTAATAAAGATTTTGTTGACTATGATAAATGTAGTAGAACACAAGGCTAGGTGAGTTCAAGGATGCTATTGAATATCCTTTTTGTTTAGCAGCAACAGCTTTGGATTTGTTTCTTCCTCCTAATTTATCATAATTTGGCTATTAGTCATTAGGCAGCTGAAACTTGGTGCCAACTAATTGTGACCCTATAAGTAGCAGAACACAACACTAGACAATTCTGAACCATCCTTATGATAACTGGGGTGTTTGATCCCATTGTTGCAGCAACTGTGTCTGTTGATCTCACTGAGAATCTTCCTTTTTATTTTCACTGACTTTCCACTTCACCAAGCATGATGTCTTTCTCTCAGGGCTGATGATCCTGCAAAAATAGGGCACAAAGTCTTGATCCTCTCTTCTGAGGAATATTTGAGCTACACTTCTTACAAGACAGATTTATTTATTCCTTTTTTTTTATCGTTTTATTAGGGGCTCATACAACTCTTATCACAATTCATACATACATCAATTGTGTAAAGCACATTTGTACATTCATTGCCCTCATCATTCTCAAAACATTTCCTCTCCACTTAAGCCCCTGGCATCAGGTTCTGATTTTTCTCCCTCCCTCCCCTCTCCCCCCAACCTCGTGAGCCCTTGATAATTTATAAATTATTATTTTGACATATCTTGCCCTGTCCGATGTCTCCCTTCACGCCCTTTTCTGTTGTCCATCAGGGGGGAGGTCACATGTAGATCCTTGTAATTGGTTCCCCCTTTCCAACCCACCCTTCCTCTACGCTCCCAGTAATGCCACTCACACCACTGGTCGTGAAGGGATCATCCGCCCTGGATTCCCTGTGTTTCCAGTTCCTATCTGTACCAGTGTACATCCTCTGGTCTAGCAAGACTTGCAAGGTAGAACTCGGATCATGATAGTGGTGGGGGGAGGAAGCATTTAAGAACTAGAGGAAAGTTGTATTTTCCATCGGTGCTACATCGCACCGTGACTGGCACATCTCCTCCCCGAGACCCTTTTGCAAGGGGATCTCCAGTGGCCTACGAATGAGCTTTGGGTCTCCACTCTGCACTCCCCCCATCATTCACTATGGTAAGAGTTTTTGTTCTGATGATTCCTGATACCTGGTCCCTTTGACACCTCGTGATCTCACAGACTGGTGTGCCTCTTCCATGTGGGCTTTGTTGCTTCTGAGCTAGATGGCTGCTTGTTTACCTTCAATCCTTTAAGACCCCAGATGCTATATCTTTTGATTGCCAGGCCCCACCAGCTTTCTACACCACATGTGCTTATTCACCAGCTTTGTCTTCAGCGGTTGTGTGGGGAAGGTGAGCATCATAGAATGCCAATTTAATAGAAGAAAGAATTCTTGCATTGAGGGACTACTTGAGTGGAGGCCCAATGTCCTTCTGCTACCTTAATTTATTTATTCTTCTAGCAGTCCATAATGTAGTCAATATTCTTTGGGAATGCTGTAATCCAAATGAATCAAATCATCCTCAAGTGTTTCATTGTCCAACTTTCACATGTATACCTGGTGATTGAAAATACCATGACTTGGGTCAAGTGCACATTAATTGTCAAACAATGTCTTTGCTCCATATTTACCACTGCAGTACGTCATTTGATATCGTGGCTGTTATTTCCATGTGTCTTCCGTTTGGATCTACATAAAATGAAATACTTTACAACATTGATTTTTTTCCTTTTGTCATGATGTTACTTATGGGTTCAATTGTTAAGTTGTAATCCACACCGAAAATGTCTTTGATTTTTCGAAGTAAGTGCTTCAAGGCTGCTTCATTTTCAGCCAGATTGTGTTATTTATATATTGTAGATTTTTATTGAGACATTAGAGAATATATAATCTTCATGCTGCATTCTTCTTCTTATAGTCCTGCTTTGATTAGATAGCATTTTTCTTTCTGCTTTGCCTATCTTTTTCATAAGAAATAAAAATGGCATGTGCACTGATTACTGCAACAGTTTGGTAGGCATACAGAGTGATTGAGGGAAGGCAAGTTTTTTATTGGTTTCTGGAATACTCTGGTGAAACTCTGGAACATTCTGGAAAGACAATTATTAGGCTATGGTGTTGGCCTTTATGCCTATGAGATAAGCATGTTTTTATTCTTGGGATTGAGAGCAACAATAAGTTTTCTCTTATTATTTCTTGCTGTAGTAGTTATATAGATGTTGGTGTAATTTTTTTTTTTCAGATGGGTAGATTTAACCCTGCCTTTGCATTCACACAGAACATCCTTTGTAGAATGCTAAAATGAGATTTGAGATTGTGTAGAGAGTTGGTCATGGTACTTGGTTTCTTCAGATGGGATTTAACAGTGTATGCAGACCAGAATAAGTTTTTTTTCTTCAGAATAATTTTTTTTTAGCCAGGCAGTTAGTACACGGTTCAATGGAAGATCTTACTTTTCTCAATGATGTGCCCTTAATTGCCTTGATATGATGTGAAATATTTTGTGGAGATGAATGCAGTACTTTACCTAATCTTCTGCATAAAGTAATAAATACTTTAATAAAAGAATAAAGAAGACCAGAAAAGAATTGATGAGTTTGTATTATGATGTTGTCAAAGAATATATTCTGTGTCCCATGGACTCCTAGACTAATGAACAAATCTGTCTTTGTAAAAGTGTACCCTAGATACTCATTAACAAGATGGCATAACTTCATTTCATATGCTTTGGACATGTTATCCGGAGAGATCAGTTTCTGGGAGAGGACATTGTGCTTGGTAATGTGGAGGGTCAGTGAAAAAGAGGAAGGCTCTAACATGAGGCAGTTGACAGAGTGGTTTCAACAATGCTTGCTCGAAAATTGTGAAGATAGCATGGGACTTGGGCAGTAGTTCATTCTGTTGTACAGAATGGGAACCTGTTCTCTGACCCCACAACAATAATCAGTACTTCCCCGGCTGTATGACTTACCAATGGATCAAAGAGGAAAACTATACTTCCACTCCAATTACATCTATGAAAAATGTACGTCTCTTTTTGCCCTTAATTTTGATAAGAGAAAGTGTAATTTTATGATCATTGATTTCAAATCCTTTTTCATTGTGTATTCATAGATTTGAATGTAGAGTCAACTTCTATTTGTATATATTGGTGCTTTGCAAAAGTCAGTACAGTAGTAATGGTCTTAGTAGAACGTGTACTTGCCTTTCCCCCTCTTCATTTTTTTCCTATTCTTAGGAAAAGACCTTACTTGCTTTTGACAAATTTGCCTAGTTTCTCATCCTCTCCTTGATGTTTTCGGTAGCCATTGCCTTTTCTCTGGCTAGAACATGGGGCTTTTAAGACCCAAGTTAGATGTCTAAACTCTATGGGCCCTTTTTGTTTAGTTTCAGCACTTTGTGTCCTAGACACTGTACAAGGAGCCTTGATGACCCAGTGGTAAAGTGCTTTGCTGCTAATTGAAACATCCATGGTTAGCCTCTCCATGTATCTGTTCTAACTGATGGATCACAAGAGAATCAATCATAGCTCAGAAGAACCAGCACACCATTATAGCCACCACAGTTCAGCATATTATGGTAAATGTTTGGGAAATTATAAAATGCTATACCTGTTGAAGGAATATGTCTTACTTTTGTGTTGTTTTTTTTTCTAGTGGTTTTTCTTTTTTATTTTCTTTTTGTAGTAATGTTTATGTACCATGTTTGTTTGTCATATATGGCTTGTGAATCCAGCACTATGAAAGATACTGATCTAGGCAATTAGAGAAGATGTAGACTGTGGTAAAGTTGTTAACTTTTACTGGCTAAAACTTTGCTGTTGTGTGAACTACAAAAATAAACAAACAAACAAATAAATAACAGAGAGGAGAAACAGAACTAGAAAGAGTGGACATGCCAAAGATGGTAATGCTGATTAGACATGTTTTTAAGTCTCTAATTCTCCACTTTCTGGTGTTCATTTTTCTCACTGCTTCCGGCTTTAAATTTTACTCCATATCTTTTTCTTGCTTTCCTCCCTTTTCTGATGCAGACCATATAGCATCGGTATCCCGGTCAGCTTTGCCTGGAATTTTCTTTCAATATGGACATTAGGCCACAATGTTTGAGCAAAACTGGTTGGAAGGAAAAGTTGAAGCTATTACTTTCTTTGTAAATCACAAGGCTATTTAGATTTAAATATTTACTATTAGAAAAATATGTTGTAGTTTATTTAGTGTTTGCTTTTAAAAGTTAAATTTTGTTCACTATATTCATACTGTGGAATAAATCTTATTTCATGTAGTGGTTAAATTCCATCATCTGTATCTCACTCTAGTTTGGTATATATGTTTTTAGGGTTTTCAGCATGGAGTTGGGAAGACATTCTGATTTTTCTTTATGGAGACGTATAAAAATATATACAATATATATGAAATAATAACAGTGATAATTGTTTTGTTGCTTTACAATTCTCTTTTCCCTTTCAAGTTTCTCTATTGGGTGTTATTTTGGGGCTTTTAAATTTTGTTGGTTGTTGGTTTGGTTTGTTTTTCTGTTTATTTTGCTTTTGGCAATTTCTCTTCAACTGTCAGTGGAATTATTGTCTTCCTGTCTCCATATTCAGGTAGTGTCAGTGGCTGAGTATCACCGCAGGATCGATGCTTTAAACACTGAAGAACTGCGTACACTCTGCAGACGTCTCCAGGTGCCCCTCAGTAGTCTACACCCCTCCGCAGATGATGCTCCTTGTTTGTAGTGTCCATTTTCAGGGCAGAGCTCACATTTGAAAGATTTGTTTTGACTTCAGCACTGCAATAATTTACTAGGAAATTCCTTTTTGTATTAAATTGTACGGTATTGTCTTGAAGAGATTTAGGATTATTTTTTTCTGCCATCTTTTCATTGGAAAAGATATTCAGATGAATTTTCGGTTACTTTATGATTGTTTTCAGGACTGTGTGTTTGTTAGAGTGATGGGCTTCCTTTTAATATTGGAAGAATAACTCTGGGCTTGAAATTGGATGTGTTCTCCAAAGAATCTGAAAGGTGCACTACTTTGGGGAAAAAATTAAATTTTTATTGATGAAAGAACTTCAAAGAGTTGGGGCGGAAAGTAGAATTAGTAGATAATGTAATTTTTTCATGAACTTTTTCAAGTGGCCTTATATAGTAAGGTTAATTAAACATGTACTCTTCTACATGCTTATTTCAATTGTGTTAGCATCACTTCAGATATGTTACTGGGAGAGATTGCGTTTGTGTTCTTTTTTCCCTGAGTCTTTCCTGGCTGGTGTTAGACATACTCTGGAGTAGGTTAGGTTGGGCTCTAGAGTATAGGTTGGTCACCAGAGCTAGATAAATTATTTGAAATTCCATGAAATAATCTTTGTGGTTTTTAGAAATGGCAAAGTGATAAAATTTAATAGAAAGTGATAGAATTGAACTCAATTTTCAGTTTTGTATACTATCAGTTGTGTGTGTTTCCTCTAACCAATAAGATGTGTTTCTATGGCTTTGCTAAAACTGCTAAGTATTTTTTTCCTTTTCTTTTAATGCTTCTAATGTTGTCTTGAACTTGTTTTTAAACTTTCACATCATCAAGATAATTGTGATGATCTGAAAGAATACATTTAGCTTCTCACTTGAAAACTATAGCTGTAGAACATGTATTGGTTGAAAATATGTGCTGTTCGGGTTTGGCAAGAAATCTCTTTAAAGGACAAAATAATTCGACAAAATTTCATTCCTATATAGGACCATAGTCATCAAGCATTGCTGCATTTTAGTTATCTGCTCCAGTCAAGTTCTGTATATTTTCCATGTTAGAAGTTTTATATGTAATAGCAACATTTCATATTTTTTTACTTTCTAGTGTTGTTAGTTTACATATTCAGTCAAATTAAAATAAAAAATAAACGCAACTGTACATATTGTATAATAGCAAGCTTTTTTTAGGGTAACATTTAAAAATTCTTTAGAGAGTGCTAGTGAGTTAATTTCCATAAAGCAAAAGCATATGGTCATTTTCATGTAGCAAATTGGTCTAAAATTTAAAAACTTGATTTCTGAACAAATTTAAAATGTTTCTATGTCCATCTGGATTAAAAAGTTCAACATTTAGCAAGTAAAAATGGAGGCTTTTAAAATGAAGTAAATGTATATCATGAATGTATATATACATCTATACATGTAGATGTCTGTGTGTATAGATATATAGGAGTCAAGATGGTGTAGTGAATAACCAGTCAGCAGCTAAGCAAAAGTTGCCATTTGGAATCTCCCAGTGGCTCTGGGAGAAGGATGAGGCACTCTGGTTCTGTGTACGCGACACCACGGAAACCCACGTGCAGTCTGCTCTCCATCACAGGGCTGCCATGAGCCAAACGTGACTCAACAGCAATCGGTTTGGTTTTTTGTTTCAGATATAAAAATTGCTTGTACATATGAATATATTTATATTAAAAGGAAAAGAAAGTTATTCTTTGTGTTTCAGTACTATAAAAATTTTGACACCTAGGAATTTTTCTTCATTATTTTTGTTTCTTCATTATGTTTTCCATGATAAAAACAATTTTACATATTTTAAATAGCATGAATGCAAAGTAATATAGTTAGCTCACTTTTGACTTTCAGAGGGCTAAATTTAAAGTTTGCATGTGTCTGGCTCTTTTTACACAGAAATGTGAGGTGGCATCCTTTATTACTAGTTCTTTCTTCTTAAAGTGCATGAAAAAAAATGGCTGCTTCAAGTAAAACAAAGCAAAAGCGTTTTCCACATTGAATACACCATTGTTATTTGATCAGGCAGCCTTTACTATCTTAAATCCTGATTTAAACATTAGCCACCTTTTCTGAATTTAAGGTTTAATTTTCTCCAAAAGCTGAAAAAATGTAAGCTGTCTTTCAACTTTGTATTAATACACTGCTACTGTTTACTTTTTTTAGATTACTACAAGAGAAGATATACATTCAAAGCAGACTGCGCCAGTAAAAGCCGACCTGGATTCTGAGTCATTTAGGCCAAATCTAAGTGATCCCAGTGAACTCTTACAGCCAGATCAGATTGAAAAGGTATGAGCATGTCCACACCTCTGTCACTTTGAGTCCGTGCTCATAGTAATAAAACAGCTGCTCTTTTGATATTTTTAAAACTGAAAAAATAAGGTTACAACTACCCCTGTTGTTCACCTCCATGAGGAAAAAATAGGCAAAATTCAAATTAGGTGACTATAGTAATCAATATTTGAAATGTTGCTGTATTCCGATCACTTGTTTCATGTTATCTCATTGTCACAACAGTTTGTAGGAGTTGGATATTATAAGTAAAGTAGAAGATGTAGATTGAGTAACTTGTCCAAGGACACAAAGCTATAACTTAAGGAAATTTGATTTCTATCTGTGATCGTCTGATTTCAGACTCCATTTTTTGGACAATATTTTAACAATCAGATAACAGACCAGTATTTTTGTTAGAGACAGAGGGCACACACCACAAAGGATCCATGTTTCTTCTCTGCTTAAGTCTGTATCTTGTTCAGTGTGATTCTTTTCCCCCAGGTGATAGGCAATGTTTCATGCTTAGAAATATTGGAGGGACTTTAAAAATTTGTGTAAAAATGGAATTGAAAGATAATGGAATTTTTCCATGAACTTTTGACCATCCTCCATATAGTTACTATTATTCAAGCTCTCACTACCCCTGGGAAACATAAGGAATTTCTGCTATAACTCAGAAGTAGTCATATTTAGGACCATTGTAGTCTGGTATGACATCATTAACCTAATGAAGGAAAACCCTGTTTTCAAACAGGTCATATTTCCAGGTACAGAGGTTACGATCTCAACTCAGATCTTAAGGGGGACATAATTTGACCCACAGTAGTTACCACGTAAATGGTAGCATTTTGTTTTTCACAGCTTACCAAACATCTTCCACCAAGAACAATCGGCTACCCATGGACTCTCGTTTATGGTACTGGGAAGCATGGCACAAGCTTGAAGACCCTTTACCGAACAATGACAGGTTTGGACACTCCAGTGTTGATGGTGATTAAAGACAGTGATGGTCAGGTATGAAAAATGAACTGCATAGCCATCATTTAAGAGACAAGAGTATAGCAGCTCTTAGTATATATCCCCTTAAACAAAGATAGGTTCCATTACTATATTTTATTAATTTTAATGAATAATTATTCAGTACTTTAAAAATATGAGGCAATGTTGAGTGCCACAAAAGATGGGCATGATTAATTAAGAATTCTTTTTGGGGGGTGGGTGGGTACATAATTTAAGAGTTCTTGGTTTCAAGAAGATTATGGTCTGATAGAAATGAAGATTTAATACACTAGTATTACTAATGCTGAGCAACATTTGCTGAGTGTAGTAAAAGCCCAGAAAAAAAGCGAAGATGTGTTTAAAGCAAGGATTGCCTATGCCTGTATGGTAGAGGGAAGAATAAACTTCCTGAAAAGGATAGAAACCGGTTGTCTTGAAGCATGAGTAACATTTTGATAGTTGAAGGTATTTTTGTGAAGGTGATAGCAGAACACAAATACATGGAAAAGAGAGGAACATTGGTTTGTCTTTGAAACAAGAAATTCAGATCAATTTCTGGCCTTGGAGAATAAAATCCAAAAAGCAAAACCTACTGCAGTCAAGTTGATCCCCGCACATAGCAACCCTATAGGACAGAGGTCAAACTGCTGTCTAGTTTCCAAGCTGTAAGCTCTTACGCAATCAGACTGTGCCCTGTCTGCCTTCCAAGGAGTGGCTGGTGGGTTCAAGCTCCCGACCGTGCAGTCAGCAGCCCACCACTTAGCCCCCTGTGCCACCCAGGCTCCTTTTGCAAAGAGAGGGTGAACAGCAATGTTAATGATATGAACTCATTTAGTGTGCTTATTATATGCCAGGCATTGGGCTAATCACTTTACATGCATGATCTTATTTAGTTATCAAGCCTCTTTTAGTAGTATTAGGATCTTTGTTTTAAAGATAAGTTAACTATAACTTCAAAAGGTTCATCACCTGAGATTTTATACCCAGTAAAAGGTATGTGCAGTAGTGAACAAGAATGAACTATTGATACATGCCATACATTTTATAAATAATATACAGTTAAAAAACACACTTGAAATAGTAATTTCTTATTGATCCCTATAGCGATTTTTATGGTAGTGCCAGGTTAGTGGCTTCCTTCATGGAGGTGGGAGGGGTGTAACATAGAGGAGGAATGAATAGAGTTTTGAGAAATTTACTTGGCCAGGGTAAAGGTTAAATTTGACGTCGTTTTGGTAATTCCAAACAGAGGTGCACGTTTATATTTTGTGTACTTTTCCTTTCAATAAAGTCTTTTAAAATTGAGACTATAAAGATAAATGTTCAGAAAAGAGGATGACTGAGGAGAGAACATCTATAAAATGTGTGTTCTCGCAGTGTGGGGTATGGACACATCTCTCAGCCATGTGTTCTCTTACCATGGCATCCTCTAGGTCTATACAAAGCCGTGAGGTTTTGAAGCTGAGCAACAGACATTCCTTCAAGGTGTTTACTTTCTAATAATGAAGAGTAGTAGTTTAACTTTTGTGTGGAATGTTTGCCTACACTGAAGGTTAATGCCTCCATATCATTAGAGGCAGTGTGTCCATCTCATAATTGGAAAGTCCTGAGTCTGAGCCTCAGAGGCAGTTGAAAGATGAACTGTATACTCTCGTAAAGATTTATAGCCCCGGAAACTCTGAAGAGCAGCTCTAATCTCTGTCCTATGATGTTATAAGTCAGAAGTGATTAGATAGCAGTGATTGTAGGAACCTGGAAGGAGCCTTGGTGGCATAGTGGTTTTCTGTTGGGCTGCTAACTGCAGGGTCAGCAATTCAAAACCACCAGCTGCTTTCTATTCCCATAGAGAGTTACGGTTTTAGAAACTACCCCATCCTATAGGGTCGCTTTGAGTTGACATTGACTTGATCGCAGTAAGAGTGAGTGAGTGCTATAGGAGCCTTGCTGGTGTAGTGGGTTAAGCATTAGGCTGTTAACTGAAAGGCCCAGCCATTTTGTGGGACAAAGATAAGCAGTCTGCTTCCATGAGATTTCCAGCCTCAGAAACTCTGTATAGCTACACTATGAGTCAGAATCAACTCGGTAGCAGTGGGATTGCTTTTTGACTGTTAAGTGCTCTATTCCCACAGCAACACTTTATCCTCATCGTATATACAGTGTGCTTCTAAGTCCTTGTGTGATACATTAACTTTTTGAGATGGCATGTTCTTAAGTTAAAAATTTATACATTTCAAAACTGCAAAAAATATATCCTAATGTATTTTGGTTTTTTCATTAAGAAACTGATATGCTTTGTACTTGACAATAATGTGCACCATATAGGAACTGATCATGTTTCCCTGTGGCATTTTGAAAGCTCAGAAGACTGTGTACATACAAGACTCATGATTGCTATACTTACACTTTCTCTTTTTTACTTGGTTCTACTTTCTATTATACATGTTTTTCTGCAAGCATTGTCAATATCTTTGTGAAAAGAGGAAAGCAGAATGTAATTTTTATCCAAATAGATAGCACTATGTCAGTTGACATTTTAAAAATTATTTAGAAATATATGGGATATGCTTAACAAAAGAAATTAATGCTCATGCCATTGAACAGGCTTTTTATGATTCACAGGTTTTTGGAGCATTAGCATCTGAGCCATTTAAAGTGAGTGATGGTTTCTATGGCACTGGAGAGACCTTTGTTTTCACATTCTGCCCAGAGTTTGAGGTGAGGAACATTAAGTCCAAGATTCTGTTTACAAAGAGCTGGCATAATTGGGGGTGAGGGCATGCATTTTGGTAATACTCATATTTTATTTTACTCCAGTCTGTGCCTTTAACTGACAATATAGCTTTTCTTTAAGTATTTTGAACTTTAGCTTCCCAGAAGATAGAATAGTGTTAACAGGCTGTTTGAAAGTTAAACAGTAGTATGATTTATGGGAAATAGTTGACATAGTTGGCATGGTACCAGACAGAGATCAGGTACTTAGGAAGATATATCGTTAGTAATATGATCATTATGAGAGTCCTAGAAATATTTAATGCCAAAATAGTGTAATACTGTACGTACTTAAAATTAGAAATTATTTGGAGTTCAGTGGAGTGATCAATTTTTTTCTTGTTGGTGGTTAACTTAACGGGTTCCACTAATTTAAATTAAATATATCCGAATACCAATCATGAAAAGTGAATTTTAGTATGTGTATGACTCTGCTTAGAACTTTGAGGCCAGTACTCGTATCTCAGGTGCAATGAGGCTCACTGTGGTAAACCTTCCCCTCAAGACGAAATTGCATTTTGATCTTGAGAACAGGAACAGATAACAAGATTTGAGGAATTACGATTGAGGACAGATATTGGAATAGATGGTCTGCTTTCACACGGAGTCATACCAACACTGAAGCCCAAAGTAGCAGCTCTTGTTGTTCCCATTGTTGTTGTTCCTACTACTACAGTTAACTATTTTAAGTTTAGACAACTAAGAGTCATCACCTTTTTTTTATAGGTGTTTTAGATAGATTGCCTTTCTCCACTAAAATAATATATTTAGAATTTTTTTCATTTGTGTAGGTCTTCAAGTGGACAGGTGACAATATGTTTTTTATCAAAGGAGACATGGATGCATTAGCTTTTGGTGGTGGAGGGTAAGTCTCTTAAACACTCTTAAACATTTTACCCTTAATTTTTTTTTTTTTTTTTTGCTTAAAAGTACTGCTTTTAAACTATCAGTTTTTGACATATTTGAAAAAATTTCTTCCTGAGTCCTAATTCATACATAATGAGACAGAGTATACTTATTTATGAGAAGATGTTTTGGTATTGTATTTGCACCTATTGATTGAATATGTGTTCGTATAATATTTGCAGCTATTGATATAATATGTGTTAATTCACTTTTGACTAAACACATCTTTTTTTTTTAAAGTATAGTAACTCCTTGATACTTGAAAGGGAAATAAACCTTTTTAATGCTCAAAATTTTAAATAACAAACCAACACTGTTATTTGACCAGAGTGTAGGTAGGCCTAATTGGTTGCTGTTATTTTGCCATAGAGACTATTTGGATTAATATTTTTTTAAGAAATAGAAATTTGTTTTCTACAAAAATATTTTGTGAACCCCAAGTTATCAGAGTTATTTTGTATTGTCTTTAACAGAATGAGTCATTCCATAGTTTGATTTAATTATTTTGATATAGTAACCACTACATGAAACATTTCTTAATCAGGTATCCCATTCTCATTTCGCTTTCAAGTTGCTTCCTACCCTGGACATTTCTAACAGCATTTAGCAAACATCAACATCTCTCTATCTCCTTCAGGATCAAACATAGAATGTATTAAATAATTCTTAGACTTGTGAAAGCCTTAGTCATAATATTTGTATCCCATAGTTGTAGCCTTCAAGAGTATTCAGAATATTCATTATCCTGAGTGATTCTCACACATTCCTTTAACGCTACTCTGTTAGATAATCTCAAGATGATATGATTTACAGGACTGAAAAATAGCCAGGTTATTGTAGCCTTGGAATAAGCACACAATGTTTATATGATTCCGTGAAATCTTTGAGGGGAATGGAATATTACTCAACTTTCCCCCTATGATAGTCCTTCACAGAATTCAGTTAACTCTCACATACTTATGAGGTAGGCCTCATAAGCAAGGGACTTGTGACTTTAAACAGTTGAAGGGTCTAAGTCATTGAAAATATAAAATGTGTTACTGGGTGTCTGGTGGAATTGGATTTAGGTTGTACAGTGTGAATTCAACAAATAAGCTGAATACTGGGTCATTTGATAAGGGAACTTTAAAATTTTAGTGGGAAAATTCTATTTTCAATTTTATTTTTCACCATCTTTTCCAAGCCCCCTTGTATAATGATAAATTTACAATCTTTAAAGAAGGTATTATTACCCTAGGAAAGAGGAGCTATAGGGACTTGATGTTCTAGAATTTTAAGCAGTATCCCCCGAAAATAGGAATAATGATGTGGTAGTCTGAATGCAGGCTTTGGAACCAAATAGGTTCAGATTCCAGCTTCACTGTATACTTGTTACATGTTAAAACTCCCTAATATATCTAAACTTAATTTTGCTGCAAATTGTGGTTAAACCCTATGGTCAATTCTGACTCAGAGTGACCCTCTAGGACAGAGTAGAACTGTCCATGTGAGTTTCTGAGCTGGTAACTCTTCACGGGAGTAGAAAGTCTCTTCTTTCACCCTGGGTGTGACTGGTGGGTTCTAACTGCTGACCTTGCAGTCATCAGCCCAATCCATCATCTTATACCACCAGGCTCCTGAAACCATGAGAAACTCTCTGATAGCCATGAGAAATTGACTGAAATGTGAACTTTGTGAAAATCCTAGTGTTGTAACTGCCTTGTAGTAGGTACTCAGCAACTAACTGAAGCATTTACTCATCTCCTTTCATCCAGCATCTTTTCTCTATTGGGACCATGGAAGGAGATGCCCCTGGGTTCTGCCCATGATGCCATTGGACACCATAAGAGTTACATGACATTAATAAATGTGTTGGAAGAGGTTTTATTTCCTCCACTCTGTTATCCATTATGGGCTCAGGAATTAATACCTTTCATTCTTGAAAGCAGTGCTCATATGAAAATATACTTCCTGTGTGTTTTACCTAGGACAGATCTATAAGTCTTAAATATATCTTTTTAGAGTCTTAAGGAACACAGACCCCATCTAAACTTAACAAAGCCATGCCCTCTGCCTCCTGAAGTGAACACACAGCCAGATTTTGCTTAGAGCTCACAACCACGGACATCAAAGGTTCAGAAGTCTCAGGTTTCCAGTTCAGCCTGAAAATGACATTTCTTACAGAATTAAGGAGAAGCTGAGAGTCCATTTTTAGACTTCTTAAATGTAGTCTTCTAAATTTTAAGGTACTTCTTAGATAGAGTCACCTAAGATTTCAACTAAATGCAAATAAATGTCTGATTTTTTTAACCTTTATATATATATATATTTGGCAAGAGAAGTACTTTAGAAGGATATCAACTCTTTCCTATTCTCTTATAGGCTGAAAAAAGTTCAATTCTTTAGCTCAATGATTTTTTTTTCAAAAATGAAAGACTGATTCAGCTTTGTCTTTTAGGACAGGTTGAGGCCATAAGTATAAAAGATTAGAGGTCTGTTGCCAAAGATAATGAGCTCATTATTTCAAATAGTTTGTCATTTATCTTTGTGTTGTCCCATGTGTAGGTAACAGGGACCCACCCAAGGGATAGATGTGCATATATGAAATTGAACAAGTTTAGCTGCAAAACAAATTATGGCTTCCAAAAAACTGATGAGGATGAATATTTTAGGGACTGTCTGTACAATGCTTTTTGAACTAGCCAAAACAGACTCTAGTCTGGCATCATTTCAAGATCACCATCTATCTTAGCGAAGTAGAGTTTTCAGTGGTAGAGGGGGCCCTTAAAATATGATCTCTTTATCCCACTGTTGATTATTTTCTGTACTCTTAGCTTACCTCTTGAGTGACACTGGATGCACTCCTATCTCTGATGATTATAGGTGATACTATACAAGTAAACATTCAGGTTTTTTGTAAAGGATTAATTTTTCCAGGAACTGTTCTGTATGGCTACTGTCTACCTTTTCCTGCTTAAACAGAAATATAGCCTAAGAATTAGATTTATACTGTGTATCAGTAGGTGTTAACCATATATCTGCTAAGACCTTATTGGCATAGTGAGTTGCACATTGTCTGCTAACCACAGGTCAGTTTGACTCTACCAGTCAACTCCAAGGGAGAAAGATGGGACTTTCTGTTGCTGTCAGCGTTCATAGCCTCAGAAATCCCAAGATACTCTGTGCTATGGAGTTGCTAGAGTTAGAATCAGCTCAATGGCAGTGGGTTGTGTATCTGTTGCTGGTTTTGATCTAGATCAGCGGTTCTCAACCTGTGGGTCGCAACACCTTTGGAGGTCGAACTACCTTTTCACGGGTCGCATAAGACCATAGGAAAACACATTATTTCCGATGGTGTTAGCAACCGAGACACCGCTCAGTCTCCAGGAGGGTCCACCCACATGCAGATATACCCACATACGAGTACCCGGCATGAAGACAGTTACCCGTGCTACACCATGTTTCAAGACAAAATTTCATTTATTTTTTATTAGAAAAATATTTCACGATATATAATTAGATAATGTTTTTGTAATGAATCACTATGCTTTAATTATGTTCGATTTGTAACCATGAAAATACATCCTGCCTATCAGATATTTTTATGATTCATAACAGTAACAAGATTATAGTTATGATGTAGCAATGAAAAGAATTTTATGGTTGGGGGTCACCACAACATGAGGCACTGTATTAAAGGGCCGCGGCCTTAGGAAGGTTGAGAACCGCTGGTCTAGATAAACTTATTGGTTCCTCATTGCCATTGAGTCAATTCCTACTCTTAACAACCCTATAGGGCAGAGTAGACCCGCCTCTGTGGGTTTCTGAGACTGTAACTCTTTATGGGAGCAGAAAGCCTCATCTCTCTACCACTGAGTAGCTATTGGTTTTGAACTGCTGATCTTGCAAGTAGCTGCCCAACATATAACCACTAAGCCACCAGGGCCACTATTTCTTGGTTACAGAAAATAAATCAAACAAACATAGCATAGTTTTCTTGCAACAGACTTCTAACTCTTACGGTGGTACCATGTATCTCATGTTAACTACCCTGAAGATCAAAATCTATAACCATTCAAATTTTAGAATTCTAGAATTACCTAGTCTTTTTTTTTTTTGTTAATAATGAGCAATTGTACCACTGAAGGATTAGATCACTCAGCCCAGCTTCACAATAGAGTGACCAACTAAATCCACAAACAAGTCTTCCTGATCTCAGACCTTTCTTTCTTGCTTCCCCCGACTAAAGCAAACCTGTGTTTTGGCTCCGCTCTGCTAGTTTGGTGATTTAGTTGCATCAATTCAGAGAATCTCCAAAGGTTACTACTGTCTCTGGGCACTTTGTTAATCATTAATCTCTGCTATTCCTCTTAACACAGCCCCCCCCCCTCACAGGTTATGTATTCCGTTAGATAAGTCAGATCTCATTATCTTTTAAGTACCCATTATACCTGGAACCTTGGTTGCAAAGTGGTTTGTGTTGCTAACTGCAAGGTCAGCAGTTTGAAACCACCAGCCACTCTACAGGATAGAGATAGGGATTTCTCCTCCAGTAAGAGCTGCAGTCTCTGAATCTCAGAGAGTGAGTTCTTTCCTGTCCTGTAGGGCCCTTACGAGTTGCATTAACTTTTAATGGTAGTGAGTTTGAGTTTTTTACCTGCGTTCCTCTTGGTTTTTCTGCTTTGTAAAAATCTCCAGCATCACATCTGTATTCATTTCAAGTTTTCTCAAACCGAGTTCTTTTGTTCCTCAATTGTTATACAATTTAGGGCAGAAATATTAACAATGTTTTATAACTCTTTTTAATATATTACAGGGGAGAGTTTGCTCTTTGGCTTGATGGAGATCTCTACCATGGAAGAAGCCATTCTTGTAAAACATTTGGCAACCATACACTTTCTAAAAAAGAAGATTTCTTTATCCAAGACATTGAAATCTGGGCTTTTGAATAAATGGAATGCTCTCTGTCATAGCAGGATAATGCCTCAAAGCTGACATGGACAAGCATTGTTTTGAAAGTTCAAGTAGCAATACAATGTAACATGTCACTAGTGTTCTTGGGTTAATCCATATCACCATTTATCATAGCTAGTATTTTGGAGTTTATTTTTAAAATCATGTTTCTGTTCCAAAGTCCCTTGGGCTTAGTCCATGGCGTGGGTCCATGTAGCATAACAGCTTGGTTTGGTCAGATTTTTTGGCATCATTTTGATCATAGTTACCACATGATCTCAATCCATGTTATCTCAGTCTCCTCACAGGATGGTGCTCTTTTGTTGAACATTTTTTTTCCTTAAACAATATTGATTCTTTTACTAGAGCAGCCTAACCTGGGGCACTGAGGGAATGACGTCTAGGTAGATGCTACAGCTCACTGTGAGGTTGGTACAAGTGACATTTGGACATGCTCAACTTATTGTTATGAAGGAGAACCACATGCCAAAACAATGTGTACTCTGCAGACCACTGAGTTCTAATTGTAGGTAACACTACAACATTCTATTACTTTTTAAGGTATTTTAAATTTTGTTCTACTAAAAGTGAAGCTCTAGGAGAATTCTGGTTGTAGCAGACCACAGGGCACATAACCTATAGGTTTGGGTGTATGCTTTCATCATGCTGAATTATTTGATAAATATTTATAAAATGACAAAGGAGAATGAGAACTCAATGATTCTATTGGATCTAATATATTAACAAGAAAATAGAGTACATATTTTTAGCTTAGTGCAGGGCATTAACATAAGTATAAAAAAGCTATGAAACATGCATATTTCTTCAATATTGTGTCAGATATACTATTTTATAGTTTTGTTGTTTTAGCATTGTTGTACACCAGCTCCTAAAATAGTTTATTCCTTTTCAAAAGGAAAAAAAATATTTGTGATTTTTTTAATTAAGTGATATATGTATGTTATTAATTGCCATTAGCACTTGCTCTTAAAAAAGGGCAATGATTATAGTTGACAATATCGTAACTCAGTAGACTTGTGGAATATGCAAACTTACTGTCAAGTGACCTCAGAAAAATCAAAAGATAGACTATATTAGTAGTTCTTATCCTCTTTTGTAGGAAAACCAGTAATAAGCCATTGTGGCAATAAATCATCATTTGATTTCAAGCTTCATGTCATGCAAAAAAAAAAATCACAAAAATCCTGCTGTTATACATGTGACAGTGACTTTGTGCTGAAATTTCAGCTATTCGACATAAACATTGTATATGATCTTGTAAATTAATGTTTAAAGTAGTTTTGTTCTTAGAAAAAAGTGTTGATTGCCAGGTGGCTTATAGCACTTTGAATTATTCTAAAAAAGAAATTACAAGCCAAATATATTGGCTTAAGTAGTTTTAGTTGTATAGCAATTGAATATATTTTGTTCTTTTGAAAGTTTAAATAATTATCTAAAGGAAGCCTAATGTTAATGGGAAAACAATCTGATATTCTCCTCTAATATGCTATTGCTGAATATGAATAGAAACCCAGGGCATCATTTATCTCCTTGTCTATGTCAAGCTCTCATGATAAGTTAGTAACAGTGCATAGATGAAATGTTTACAATCAAGCAATTGTAAATAAATATCTCGGTTCTTTTTCTTTTTTTTTTCCTTCTTCTTCCCTTTGGTCTTCCACAGCAGTATTATTGTCTTTGTGGAGTTAATTAACCACAAAAAATAAATAAATAAAAAGCTGTAATTGATTTCAATTACAATAAGGTCATAGTTGTGTATACAAAATAAAGTTAAATAATATATATACAAATTTGAGTCTGGATTTATTGAATATGAAATTATTTACACAATCTACAAAATCTTTGATTAAGCCTGCTATTATCATCGATATAAAAAAGCTTTGAGTAGCTTGTACTAAGGTGATTCTGGTAGTAGCTATGGAATAATGTATCCCAGGTAGAGGAGAAACCACAAGGTTTTAAAATGAAGATGCATGAATGTATCTGACATGTGGGGAATTACTGGTCAGGTGACGGTTTAAAAGTATATTGCTTTCTTTTGAGGGGAAGGTACAGATAAGATAAGTCCCATGTTATTGAAGAATTTTGTTGCATGTCGTTCTAAGAGATACAGACTTTTTTTTTTACCCTCTGGGTGCAATAAGGGACAGTTGGGTGGAGGGATGGTATGGTTTGCATTTTAGAAGGCTCTCTGCAGAAAACATTAATGGAGGATAAATTAGAGACACGGTGACCTTATGAACAAGCCTGTTAAGAAGAGATTATGAGGCCTGAGCAGTAGTAACAATGGTACTTTAAAGGAAGTTGACATGGATTGGGGAGAAATTCAGGATGAAGAGCTGTAGTTATCATTTGGTTGTGAGAGAGAAAAAAAGGATTAACTGTAGAGTTTTTTTTTTTTTTACTTAGAATTGGGCATGTTACTCATCAAGATTGGGTAATATACAAAGAATAAAAGAGGTTGAAGAAATGGCATTAGTTAAAGACCTTATTATGCAATGATTTGAGAATTTGGGTATTAAATTTGGGGTGGTGGTGGCATTTAATACTTTAGAATTGGAAGACAACATTGAAGGATGCCAGTCTTAGGCCCTGAGTTAGCCCTCTTAGTTATGACAAACCACACTTAACCTCTAGTTTGGGGGATTTTTTTTTTATACTTTATCAGTAATGTTATAGTAAAAGCATTGTAGCTGAAGTTTTCTAAATGAAATCCGGCTTCCGTTACCTGAAAACATGTTGACTACTGTGCTGAGATCATTAGGCAGATTCTGGAAACCTGTTAGCGTGAAAGATCTGAAGAAAAAGAAAGTGACCGTGCAGTCACTTTTCACTAGTTTTTCAGCTAGAAACTCCCATCCCAGGGATAATCCACATGGTCCAGCATCTCCCACCAGCGACGGTACTAACACAACTGACAAGATGCCAACATTGTCCAATGATCCTGCTTCATTAGCGTAACCGTGTCATTGTGTTTTTATGTATATTAAGCATATTTGTAAATTTGTATGTCATATTTTCAACCCTCCAAGGCAAAGATAATGGGAGCATTAATGATACAAAAAGGAAGCTCTTGAACTTTCGCTAGAACTGACAACACATGTCAGACCAGAATCCGGCCTGTCTATGTGATCAGTGAATATGCCCGTCAGGTTTATTTTTGTGTAAATTAAGCTGATTATAGATTTATATGGAAATTAAAAGGCAAAGAATGGCCAAGGCAACATGGAAGAAGGAAGTGATGGTCTTCATTACCAAATACCAGGCAGGATCTTTTTTAAAAATGAGTAAGGTGATATATTAAGGATACACAAAAGAGTGGGTCAAAATCAAGAATCTTGAGAAGACCAATACGCTCATAGTCAGTTGGTTTTCATTTGATCCCTGGTGGTGGTGTGGTTTCACATCGGATTGGAATATGCAGTCAGCAGTTCAAAACCCAGCCTGCTCTTAGGAAGAAAGAGGACAGGGCCAGTTCTACCCAGTCAGCTCGATGGCAGCGAGTTGATTTTTTGTTTTCTTTAAAAGATGACACTGGCTGCACAATGGGGAAGATGGAATTTTTCAATAAATGTGCTGAATTAATTATTGAATATATCTATGAAAGAAGAACTCTTGATCCATCTCACACCCTTGAAATGAGTGGTTCTCAACCTTCCTAATGCCACAACCCTTTAATACAGTTCCTCATGTGGTGGTGACCCCCCAACCATAACATTATTTTTGTTGATACTTCATAACTGTAATTTTGCTACTGTTATGAATCGGGCAACCCCTGTGAAAAGGTCGTTCAACCCCCACAGGTTGAGAACCACTGCTTTAGATGGATCTTCTTTTTCCTCTTCAAAGGTAAACACAAGGCAATAAAAGGCAAACCAAAGCTGCTAGTTTCAAAACAGGCTTCTAGCTTAATAACTTTAGAACAAGTATGTATTTCTGACATGGATGCAAAAAGCACATCAGTCATGGGGGGTCACTTTCAGCCTGGGCTGGCTGGTCTCCAGCTTCTCACCATCCCTGAAGGCAGTCATGTTGGGGTCCTTCCCAAGAACCAGTTGCCGTTGACACTCAGTTCTCACTGATGGCGAGTTCGAACTCTCGTAAGAGAAACGGCACCAGGTTCTTACTTTGTACCTGTGAGTAGTGAGTAGTGAAAGAAGGAACCAGAGTTTGGTGAGAGGGAGGGAAAAGGAGAAGGCAGATTAAGTGGCGGTGCGGTGTGAGAAGAAACAAACCCATCTCTGAACTTCCTCTTTAATGAGCGTTAACGTTGGGAATCAGGAAGTCAAAACTATAAACGTTTATGGAAGTTTATGAGCATGACAGCTGATAGAGACTGGGAAGCATCAGACATCTTGAATGGAGGTCCAGAAGGAAAAAAAAGCTTAGAAAACCTCAAAGATTTGGAAACCAACCGTACAGCACTTAATGGGGATCTAGGTTTACCAAGGTTAAAATGCTACTGATAATGTATTTATTTCATTTGCTACTCTTTTTTTTTGGTTGAGTATAAAGAAATTTTCATTAGTTGCCTGAGCTATACTTGTTTTTGTATTTGTCAAAATGCCCTAAAAGTTCTCAACTATGGGTTTTCCTATTCTGGGCTTTGTGTTTGTTTTCTTTTACGTGGTAAAAGAAAGGTGAGAACATTTGCTAGCTGAACCATTTCCACAGGACACGGACATTGACCACATGTACCACAGCAGCAGCAACCAGTCTCATTCTTTGGTTTTGTTCCAGTTTCCCGAGGCGCTGGTAACCCCCTCCCTCCCTCTCACCCATCACTGATAACTGAGAAACTCCTGTTATGGTAGCTTTAGGTAGTTTAACCGAGCAATAATGATTTGCTTGGTTAGAGAATATTTTTGGATTGCCTAGTTAGGAAACAATATGACAAGGGGACATTTAACACAGGAATAAAGTACATTAAGCCAGGAAAAAAATCTCTAAGCCCTATATAGCTCTGAGTGTAACAAGCCAGCTCTTAGGATGCTGCCCACCTAACGAGACCATTGTCAGGATGTGCCTGTCATCCAGAAGGCATTTTTCCCTAAGACCTCTAGTTTTCTGGCCCTTTACGAGAATTTTTAACCCCAAATTCAAACAACTTGAACTTTGAATATGTTCATACCTGTATAAACGGTTGCAGATTGAATAGGAAATAACTCTTTCTGTGCTTTGGTCTAAGTCCCCAAACCAGAAGTAGCCCGAGTCTCTGTCTCTTTTCTTATATTTTAAACACAAAGTGACATTGTGGAATCTAACCTAGAAAAAGCACTGTATAAACAAAAGCAGGAAGCATAAAACGTCTTTTAATTTGGTGCCATTTGCCTTTAAATTTTGACATGCTTCCTTTTTTTGATGTAAATGCACAAGTTACATGAAATTCTGATTTATGTCATTTCATAAGTATGATGGGAACAAAATATACCTACTTCTTTAAGGAGGTATACGAACTTGCAGTTTGAAAGAGGATCATGAATAAAAGGTGATTTCTGTAAGTTCAACTATATCTAAAACCTAACGATTATGAAAGCCTATCATTTTGAGGTCTCAAAATTTGACATTAATTTTCTTAATACCAAATTTCTACAATGCCAATGCATTTGAATTAAACTCATGTTCCATTTTATAAAGTATAGAAAATATGTTACTCATTAAACAAAATATTTGACAACAGACACTTGTCAACGTTCTTTGGGCCACTGCATTAAACAAATACTTTTTCACTTTGGCAGGTCTAATGCTGTTTTCTAACTTTCAGCCATTTCATAAGGTGGTCTTGATTGCAGAATAAAGACAGAGTGCTTCACATGTTTCTGGTTTCCCAGGGATTCCTTAACGTTCTTCCATACAGGACTCTCCATTTCAACATAGAATGGTGTTGGTTTTTTTCATTGTCCATTGACACATAAATGCAAGCCACAGAAGCATAATTGAAGGTTTTTTGGGGGGAAATGATCAATTTCTACCAGAAGTCCTACAGTAAGGCAGACATATTTGAATCTCCCACCTTTATACTCAGAGTGCAGTGAACATAGCCACGCTCTCAGGTGCCTGTGAGAGCATCAGTAGTGGCTTCCAGGTGATCTGCCCAAATCACTCAGAAGGAGCAAAGCCAGCTCCTACCTGGAGATTTTAGGCAAAGCCCCCAGAGGCACGTCATCCGTGCCAACGTGCTACTGTAGAACTTAGTTTCCTATGCATCTTATTTTATCTGATTCTATGATCAATACAAATGTATCAAGTTAAACTTCTTAGACCCTTTCCCAATTAGATTTGCTGAACTAAGTGGGACATTTTGCCATCTTCCTACAAAATAATGCTGATATCATAGTGTGCCCTGCTGGCATTCTTAGATGCAATATGTAATTCGTGGAACATCCCTAATCATTTCTGCTGTGAAGAGCCATTTCTTTTTTCCTAATAGGGTCAGTGGAATTTCATGAATTAAAACATTTAGTATACACTAATGACACTCTTAAGCAGTCCAGGTGGCACAGTAGGTTAAGTGGGCAGTGAACCCAAAGGTCAGTGGTTCAAACCCACCAGCTGCTCCTCCAGAGAAAGAGAAGGCCGCCCGCTTCCCAATAGATTTGCAGTCTCAGAAACCCAACGAGCAGCTCTTTCGTCACAAGGGGCCACCATTTGTCAGTGTGGACTTGCCAGCCCTGGATAGTGAACTATTGCACTGGGAAGTGCTTTTCAAGTGTTCAAAGATAAAAATAAAGCCCTAAAACTGTGTACAATTAATATCTACTGAGTTATGACAGCAATTTTCATTTTAATTGTGAATGCCTTTACATTTTAGCATTAAGACAGGAGTGGGTCGGATCTGGCTTTGCTTGTTGAAGGGTCACTCCAGTAAAGTAATCACCACGTGGTCGTCTCGGCCTTGCCATAACATTTCTCCTGGGAAGTCCACCAGTCCATGTTTCCGGGCCCGCATGAGGATGCCCACGACCTTATCTGAAATACGCACGTATCTGTCAAAAAGGTCCCCGAAAGTCACCTGGATCTTGCCATCTCGCCTGTGGCGAGCCATTGTGCGGATGATGAAGCACAGGTCCGTGATCTCCCTATAGATGTGCTCCTGGGCTCGTTTGGCTCTCTCGGCAGTTTTGGTTCCCTCTTTCGGGCGGCCGTAACCCTCATCTCCCTTGTGTAGGCGGCTGGACATGGCCAGCTCATAATCAAATTCCTCACTGAAAGGATTGAGCTTCTGGGCCTGTGTGTGCTCATCGGCCCACTGTTGCCATCTCCCTTTCAAGCTGCCCACTTGGCTGTATTTCCGTTGGGCCTTGCAGCTGAGTTTCTCTGTAAATCTGTTTGCTCTAAGGGGAATAGAAAATGAAGAGTCAGGATCGTGGTAATGCTTTTCCTTTATATTTCCTGCCCATATGCATGTTTAGGAAGACGTGTTATTATTATTCAAAGATATAAACACGAGCAAACATTCCGGAATGATGGAAGAAAATCCGTATGCAGCCCCACGGTTTTGTCAGTGTGGTATCTCCCTTCTATTTTATGTTCTCAGAATGATAGTGTCTTAAACTCAAAACTCACTACCATCGAGTTGGTGCCGCCTCACAGCCACCTGGGGGCCAGGGTAGAACTGCCCCTGTGAGTTTCTGAGACACTCTTTATAGGAGTAGAAAGTCTTATCTTTCTCCTGTGGAGCCTCTGGTGGTTTGACCTTCTGGGAGACTGTCATTCTTCGGGGAGTTGAAAGCCTCATTTTTCTCCCACAGAGCTGCTGGTGATTTCAAACTACTGACCTTTGGGTTAACACATAACCACTACACCACCAGAACACCTCTATGTAATAACCTATATTTCCTGTCTCTTTGCTTTCATGGTTAAACCATGAACTCTTGGATTTGTAGAGCCCAGTTCTGGTGGAGTAGTGACTGCATATTGGGCTGCGAACCTGAAGATCAGCCATTCCAAACTACCAGATGCTCTGAGGAAGAAAGACAAGACTTTCTACTCCCATTAAGAGTTACAGTCTTGGAAACACAGAGGATAGCCTGGCCCTGTCCTATGGGGTCTCTATGAATTGGCATTAATTTGAAGGCAGTGAGTTTGATTTGGTTGGTTTGGGGTAGTGTGGTGGGCCGCGAACCCCAGGTCAACAGTTTGAAACCATCAGCATGCTTCATCCTCACAAGTGACACCCTCCTCCCCTCCTCCACACACATACGCACAAACACACACACACAGACCTTCTTACTTACACCAAGTAGAATCTTTCTTGGAGGTACAGGGTTAAGATAATGACTCAAAGTGTTGAAACTATTGATGTGCATGGCATGCCTGCTCTTACAATTCACTCTAAAAAATACCAGAACAAATCAGATCTGTCTGGCAGCCATCACTACCAAGTTCACCTCCTGAAAGCTTTCTATGGAAGAACAAAAGGAAGAACCAAATAGACTTGAACAGGGAGGAATACATACTTGAGCGATTTTATTTTTTTAAAGAATGTCATCCACTAGATGGCAAGCTTTCATTAATTCCCACACTTTCCATTTCTCAATTTCTAAATCTCAGCTGTTAACAAAAGCATTTTGCATGGAGCTAACAGAAGCGTGTCTGGGACCCACTGCCCACTGAGCAGGAAAAGAAGTGACAGTCAACTTTCTTAAGAATTGAAGCTCTGGAAACTATGCAGGGCAGTTCTACTTTGTCCTGTACGGTCTCCAAGAGTATAGAAATCCATTTGACAATCATGGGTTTGGTTTGGTATCCTTGCCAGATTCTGATCTGCCCTCACACTACAATTTGGACTGGGAAAACACTGCTATATAGAACAACACTATAATTTGTTGTAGGCATGTGACAAAAAATGCATGACCAAGTTAAATGGAAAATAAAGCATCTAATGAAGCATGTACAGGAGCCCTGGAGGTGTAGTGGATTCTGTATTGTTGGGTTGTTCACAGCAAGGCCATCCCTTTGAAACCACAAGCTGCTCCACAGGGTGAAAGATGAGGCTTTTCGCTCGTGTAAAGATGGACAGCCTCGAGAAGCCACAGGGGCAGTTCTAGTCTTTCTATGGGGTTGCTGTGAATTGAAATTTACTTCATGGCACTGAGTTGGTTTGCGTTTATGAAACAGATACAAAATATCTCTATCTATAGACAGATGGGTGTATGTATATATATACACATGTATATGTATACATATATAGATACATAGTGCATTTTATAGTATTTTCTTTCTTAAAAACATATGTATTATTTTTACATTTTAACTTTAAAAGGTCAAAGTATCAGGTTTAAATCATGTTTTTGAAAGTCTCCTTAGTCAATGATTATAAGCCTTAAAATACCAGTTTTTCCTGTTTAAAAAAACTTTATTTAAATGTGAATAATAGTTTAAGTTAAGCATTAGAACAAATTTAAAGTAAAGCAATAATTAATGACTGTCATCTCACCCATACGTTAGTATAGCAATATTTAAGGTTGACTTACATTCTCAGTGTCTTCACTTTTACTGAACATAGTTTTCTTTTGTTTTTAGTTTTTTAAATTTTCTTAATCATTTTAATATAGTTTTCTGTAAGCAACCAGAAATATTTACCCCTGTCTCTCTATGTGCAAGGTCACTAATTCTACTTATAAGTAGCTCATCTTGAAAAGTCTAGATTTCTTTACTGAAAAGAGCTGGAAAATGATTTCTTTTCTGCCATTCTAAAAATGACTTTGGTTTGAATACTGTTTTTTTAAAAATCTGAATAGGGTATTTTAGCACAATGATGAGAATACAGGAACTAGCACTATAAGCCTATTATTTTGGTAATTATAATGGGTAAATTATTAAATATGTGATGACATTCAGATATTAAAATACCTAGAAGGTACACTTCAAAACTATCCAAGTCCATCGGCACTGAAGTATCTGGTACATACCCTTCCTCTAAATCAATAGCTTAAAATGTCATTAAGCTGCAGGCGAGCATTTCTAGCGTTAGTCTGGAATTGGTGAGGAGAAAAGAAAGATTGACTAGTGTTGGCTCATTCCATAGACCTCTAGATGGAGCGTTTCTCCCTGCTTGGGCGCCCTTCTCAATGGAAAGCAAAGTATGCCTGCTTCTCTCAGAGCAACTCTGGGAAGGAGGAGTTTCGTTCAGCATGTGTTGGGTTGCCTGCCCACCAGACAGCATGGAGCTCTTTGGAGTCAAGCAACCACGGCGTCCTTTGGGTCCCATCAGAAGCATGGTAGCAGGATGACCATCTTCAAGAGTCAGCTGAGCATTTCTGAACAGCAAGTAGGCTCTCTCTAGTCTGTTATCAGAAGGAGCCCTGGTGGCACAGTGGTTTAAGATTTGGGCCCTTGCCTGTAAGGTTGGCAGTTCAAACCCACCAGAGAAAGATTCAGCAGCTGTAAAGATCTCTAATGGCAATGTAGGGATCACACTGCTCTCGAGGGTGGCTAGAAGTAGGAGTTGATGTTCAGGGGGTTGATGGGTTGGTTTATTCTGCTATCAAACAGATTTGAGGGTAGCCCTAGGGATCTACCTTGCAGTTCGCTTGTTATTGACCTTACCCTTTAGAGAAGACTCCAAGTTCTATGGTTGGAGGTCGATTTAGGAGCCTATACCTTTGCCTTTGTTTTTAGCTAAATCCAACTATACAACTCTGTCAAAGCACCAAACTTTGGGAGTTAATGGGGTTCCATTTGTTAAACGGACACTTTTATCTCCGTTTTACTCCCTGAGTCTGTTCTCCAGCGTCTCTAAGTTGAAAGAGCTCATCTCCCACCACCAACTCAGCACCAGACTTCTTAGCTTCACTACTTCATAGCCTTGGGTCTTGGTTTAACCAAGTTTCCTAATTCCCTTGTTTATAAAGTAGCACTTGCAAGCTCAATCACTGCTTTTTTTTTAACCTGATTAGAATTTGGTGGGCAGGATGAGCGAGTGATTGGCATTTTAATTTCTCATCTTTAGCTTGTGAGAGAGGTACCCGATTCTTTTAGTCAACAGGGATGGGGCCGAAGGTGTTTTTAGAAAATCAGAGTTTGTATAAAATCAGTAGACAATATTTTAAAGTTAAGACATAAAATATAAACTACTTTCACAATAAGACCATTATTGTTAAGAAAAGAAAAAAATCCAACTTCTATCAAAGTTGAGTTGTTTGTTTCTATTACCCATGGGACCTCTTACCTATCAAGAAAATGCTATTTAACCATCCCTAGCACCTACATTTCTTTTGGAAATATAGGAGAGAGAATAGTGCCTATATTGAAAAATGAGTGAGCAAAAAACGCTTGCCAGTTGGCTTGAGAACTCTTCTTTCTGTCTCTTAAGCAGTAGTTGATAGTCCTCACAGACACAAAGTCCCATTAGGCTTCTGGAGGACTTCCTGATCACAGCTAGGATTACCGTCGACATTAAGAGTTGCTGTCGCTTTATTACAACATACTGGTACCCTGTGTACTCTAAGACTGGGGGAAAGGAACCAAAGAGGAGCGTTAACTTGAGTTAGGCCTCCTCCTCCCATCCCCATGAGTCGAGCTTTTTGCACCTCAAAGAGCCAGCGTCCCCACCTCTGACCCCACTCATGGTATAATGGACACAACATGAAGACCCGACAATGTGCTCCCTTAGAGACTAGCAGATTAGGAAAAGGTGTGAAGCGGCTCTCTTCTGTCCTACAGGGTCGATCTGGGTGTGCACTGACTCCACAGCATTCATGAGCACCGGTCATGCTTGGGCTGAGTTCACATGGCTGACATATCCAAACCCATGGAAGTGTATCAAACACACCCTTGTTGAATTCTGTTTTTCCATCCCCAGTATCTCCCCTCTCCCTGCAAAATCCACAAGGCCAGAATTTATTTTTTGCTTCTTATTTTCAGGTAAAATAGTTACTTTTGATAATGAATTACTATTTTAATATAAGAAAAGCCTAAATCCAGCACTCTGGGCACATTTTCAAAGCACCATGTGAGAGTTAACTTGTGAGACAGGTACCCTGGAGTTTCAAACGTTGCACCTGGGATTAGGCAGATCAATTTACTGAGGTCATCTAGCTAACCTCTAGATCAGCAGTTCTCAACCTGTGGGTCGCAACCCCTTTGGGGGGGTGTCAAAGAACCCTTTCATGGAGGTTTCCCAATTCATAACAGTAGCAAAATGACAGTGATGAAGAAGCAACGAAAATAACTTTATGCTTGGGGGGGGTCACCACAACATGAGGAAACTGTAGTAAAGGGTTGTGGCATTAGGAAGGTTGAGAACCACTTTTTCTAGACCATTTGATATATTTGAATTCTGGCACTGGTAAGGAATATTGAAAATCTATGGATTTCCAGAAGAGCAAACAAATCTGAGTTGGAAGACATACAGCTAGAGTGTTCCTTAGAGGCAAGGAAGGTGACACATGGTCTCTGTACTGTGGATCTATTATAAGGAGAGACCAGAGCCTGGAAAATGACATGCTTAGTAGAGAATCAGCAAAAATGAGAGCACTCCTCCGGTGGATTGACCCAGTGGCTGCAACAAGAGGCTCAAGCATAAGTAACCAAGCACACAGGGTCAGTATGATTTGGGCTCAACTCAACAGCTCCTTCAGCAATAGCAATACCCACCTTATGAGATGAGTGAGAGAGACAATGTATGCAAACTATCCATGTCCCACACACAATGTATGGCAGGCATTGTTGCCTAAAAGTGCCATTCAATTTTGTAATACACAGTAGTTCTATCAAAATCACCCACTCTGGGCTTTCTGGTAATGTAGGGAACACGTTTTTGTGTTTTACTTTCCATTGCTTCCTCAGACATTGGGGACACACCTACACACCTGTTCCCAAAGGGGACCATGACTTCTCCCCTGTTTTGAGGCCCTGTGGATGTAGGGTCAGAGACCCTGACTTTATATGACAAGGGGAGCTGTTATCTTAAAATAAAGCAAGTGTTTCTTGGATTGAATCAAGATTTCCATTTGAGTCCGTGTATGTGTATTTATTTGACAATTCTATGTTTTCAGAACGCGATATTTTAATGATCTGGCTTTAGTTACACCTCTTTACAAAAAGAATATCCTGTTTTTGCATGGGAAAGTTTGAAACTTTGTTAACTAGTAGAATCCACGAACAATAATAGCTTTCACACACTGAGTGTATGTGGCAGGCCCTGGAGTTAGTGATTAGAACCCTTCAACTTATTTACTGCTCCCATGAGAACAGAACTTACCCCAAAGGGTTTCTGTTCCCACTGTTTTACAAATGAGGAGATCAGTTTCGAGAAAGACTTAGAGAAAGCGTGGAGTTGGGATTTGAACTTGTCTATCTGATTCCAAGACCTGCTCTCAATTGAGAGAGCAACCGCCCACCTGTTTACAGAATCATAGAGATATGTGTTCCTCGCACCCACGTGGGATGAGGTATCTCCTGATTATATTATAGCCTGATTGGGGCCTAGGAAATATTTCCACAATCTATCAGCAAGCCCTCCTTCTCTCCTGAAAAAAAAAAAAAGAGCCAAGTTGTTACTCATCTAATTGACATGAAATTCACCTAAGCCAGATACCTGCTCCCTTAGCCTCTTGGTTGTGGCTAATACTTGAGTGTTGGGTTCGCAGAAGAAAAGAGAAACAAACTAGTGAGGGTCCTTGACCCATAGGGCCTTGTCTGAGGTTAGTACTGCCTTTCAGCTCGGAGGTGTATCTCCCAACATGACCTCACTGTTAGCCCCATCTTTGAGGTCCTCGCTCTCACTTTGGCAGGACTCCCCTGCGCCCTCAGTTCCCACAGCTCATTGGAGCTAAATTATGATTGTGGCTTAAAAAGCAGAGTAGTCGCTCCAGGGTGCAAATGGTCAATGTGCTCAGCGGCTGACTGAAAGGTGGGAGGGTCCCAGTCTCCCCAACGGGGCCTTGGAAGAAAGACCTGGCGATCTACTTCTGAAAGACCCACCCCTGAAGCCTCTACGGAACCCACTTCTCCTCTGACACACGTGGGCTCGCCAGGAGTCAGAATGGACCGGGTAGCAGAGGGGAGTAAGCATCCGAAGGGCGCACCGACTTACTGGGAGGGCAGCGGGCGCTTGATTCGGGTTCCAGCCACCTGTTCCCCTTCCCGCTCCGACCGTTCCTCGTTCTCCCCTCCGTAGCCGCTGTCCTCTGTGTCTATGCTGTCACTCCGCCACTTGACTTCGTCCTCCTCCATCTCTTTCCAGCCTTTGGTCAGCTCGGACACCAGGCTGCCACACTTCCTCCGTCGCCCTGGGGAGCCATGGCTGTTGAGGATCCTGTCGATGTCGTCTCCTGGCTGCTCAGAGTCACGCAGGTCACTGTCCCTCTCGTACCGGTGGCTGAGATCGCTCACATCTCTGCCCCTCTCGTAGGCCTTGCTGACAACTGTTTTGGTCACTTCTTTCCTTTTGATGTGGGGGACCTCAGGCGGCCCCTCCGGACTTCGCCCAGGGCTCTGTCCCTCTGGCTGCTGGGATGGACATTTGGAGACAGCACGCTGGTCTTTCTGGAAGGGAGGAGGGTGTACCACTGGTTTCCCAGCAGGATGTGGGTGCTGGGTTGCTCCGGGCAACCAGCCTGCAGGCTCCTGGGCCTGCTTGGTGCTGTTCTCGTTTGCCCACTGCTGCCAGCCACGGGCCAAGTTAATTACCAGGGTGGCAGTGCGGACCTTGCGGAGGGCACTCTTGGCTGGCATCTCCTCCCTTTCCTTCTCTCCTGGAGCCATGCTGCCCTTCTCTGCACCGCTGGTCGTCTGGCCAGAAAGGCGTGCAGTGCAGAGAAGTGTCAGGGGTTTAAATAGAAGCAGGGTGCCTGGTGGGAGGGGAGCCTGGTGACCGTGGAAGCTATGTGGAGCATTTCTTGCCAAGCTGTGGTGCCTTCTCCCTGATGATGTTCTTTTTTTAAACCCCGATGGCTCTGGTTTCATTGCAGCAGAGGGACATTACGCTGGTCAAGGACAGCGAGACGCTCTCTCTCCCTTCCTTCTCCAAGTGCCAGAGTGGAACTGCCCATGTCTGATCATGTGCTCAGTCTTGTCTTTCATGACCTCACAATGCGCTCCTTCCCTTTCAGAAGAGCATCCAGAATGTGCATAGATCCTGCTAGGAGTCTTGTAGGTCTGGTCTCTGATATGTCCGTAGCATTCAGTATAGGTCTTAATCCGTCCCATTTTATAGAGGAAGAACATAAAACCTGACTCCTACAGCCATGAGGATCTGATATCCAAACCTGTCTGAAAGCTTGGGCTTTTTGCCACTATATCTAAGTTGCCGTTTTTCCTCAGTCTTCAAATCCATTAGCTATCGCTCTTAGGAGTCATTTCATCCAAACTGTTTCCCAGATGAGAACATGCAGGCCCAGATGGTGAAGAAACTAAAGCCTAGGCAGTTAGAGATTCATTTTCTAGTCCCAGGTTTGATTTATTTGTACATCTACCACATTCATACACTAGAGACGGATAAAATTATGGTCAATCATTAGTTTTTTTAATTATAAAGGTTATGTACACATTGCATTTTATAGACTATTATCACAATATAGTGTTTCAAATATTTTATGCAAAAAGAAAAGCTTATTTCCTTTAAAGACAAAATGGGAAGTTTTTAAATAATAAAACCATACTTAGCCAACTTTTGAGTTCATGGGGCAAAGCCATTCTTTTGACCCTTAAGACAAAGCCTGAAATTCAACACTGTTTTAAAGGTTTGCAGAAATAGATCTTTGAACAGAAAATAAAACAAAATACTCACGCCAAACCAAAACAAAGATGCACGTAGAGAGGGTACTTAGCCAGATCAGCCAGCCCAGAGCTCAGCCCCTCCAGCACAGTTAGCCACAGATCGAAAACCACTATCTTTTTTACATTCTTTTTTTTAAAAGATGCGAGTTAATTCCTTCTGATGGAGAGACATTCATTTTGAAAAAAAGAAAAAGATAAATGTTGATGTCGGTTTTCCATGATGTAGGTCATTTACCTCCTAGGATGAAAACCATTTGGGAAATGAAATGTGTTTTCAGAGTACAACAGCATCTGATGATATGCCCCGAGGGCCAACAACACAGAGACAAAACCAAAACAAAACAAAAATACCCCCCAAACCTCCTGATTAATTAAGAGGAAATTGGATCACAAGAAAAGAAAACTATTCCAAATAAAGATCCGAATCTGAGTCTGAAATGTCTGGCATTCCTTCTGCAGAGGGCAGACTGCTAGGTTCCTGTCTGATTCCCTTCGTCCCATTAGGAAGATCCTTTGGGAGAGTCACTCATAAGCCGAGCCCCGGATCAGGCTACGTATGTGCTTTATAGCTTTTAACAGGGATTTGTGTGCTTCCTTGTCCATTTTTTGCTCCACAGTCAAATATGGTAGAGGAAGAAAAATTAGAGCGAGCGAAATGTGAATAGTTCGCATAATAATAGGTGTCAGCTGCCTCTGGTATGGGGTTGTCTGTCAGCAGATGGTCTGGGCAAAAAAAATGGAGGCAGCTCCTGAAAGAATGTTGCCCTTCCTCCAGCGATGTCACTTCCCAGGCAACTGCCATCCTTCCGTCAGACGTTTACATGCAGGGGCAAGAGCGTAGGATTCTTTCCCTCTCCCGCCATGGCAAGAGCTACCTGCCACCTCCTGGGCATCTTTTGCTTGCCATCCAATTGCTACGTTCTCTTTCTCAGCCTAGATCCAGAGGCTTAGACATCTGGTCTTCTCAGTTAACGGAAGGTGTCGAGGCCTTCAGGAATGAAGAGGGTGAAGTCAGAAGTGAGCTTCCTGGGAAGCCTTACTATGCCCAAACACTGGAGAAGAGAAGAGACAGACTTCATCCATGCCATAATTATCACTCTAGATGTTTATCACAACTGGGAATAATAATCGATATTATTTGATGCTGTGAATCATAGCAGAGAGGGGAGGTTGTGTTTATGCCGCTTTCTATATCATACATAGAGAACCCAGGGAGAGCCAGCCCTCATGCACTAGATACTTTTGCTAGAGAGATGCTTGAAACTTATGTATGGTGCTAAGTCTTTTGCTTGCTTAGTTTTAGAGATGTGATCAAGAAAAGACATCAACCGAGAGAGGAAACTATCCTTTTACTGCAATGAGTTTACATGCTTCATTGCTCATGATAGACATGTCGGTAGGGGTAGAAAGCTGAACAAAACTAAACCTTTCTTCAGGGGTTTCCCAATCTTGCCAAGAGAGGAAATATATAAAAGTGCCTATTGTAGTTTGGAAGGTTCTGTACTGGAAATCCAGGTCGAGTTTTATGGGAGTATTGAGAAAAGTGTGATTGATTTTATTGGAAGGACTTCATGGAAATGGTGAGCTAGTCTTTATCTGGACCTTAAAAGATAAAGAGGATTTTACAAGGTGGAACAAGGGCACTATTACCTAAGCATACACATGAACAAAGTTACAAAAGCATGGAGATATATGGTATTTTGGAGCCCTTACAATGGCCCAGAGTAGAGGTCACAACCCAGATACCTACAAGGTCAGGTAGGTATTGTAAATGCATGAGGCAAGTTTGGTTGGAGGCACAATATAGGGTAGTAAAGGCCACAGGCTGCTCTTGAAATACGTTTACGAGAGAACAAAGACATCTGGAGTTTCGCAAACATTTTCTCAGTTCCTTACATGTTGACAGTTAACACACATTACACATTGTGCACAATCTGAACCGGTTGAGCCAACATGGTTCAGTGTGTCTTTGGGCCAGATTCTGCCGAGGGTCCAGATGTAGAACATCTGGAGATGAGCAGACTGTGCCTATGAGGTACAGAAAAGAGACCAGGGACCAGGGAAAGCAATGGCTGTGAAGAAGTATTTGGAAGCCTTGTGAAGAAAGGCTGGTTCATCATTAAATTAGGGCTCAAGGCACAACTGAAGATGTTAAGCTTCTGTGTCAAATGTAGGCCATCTAGAGACCAGACTAGAACCATCAACATAGGTTCTAAACCTGTGGGTCACGACCCCTTTGGGGGCGCCAAACGACCCATTCACAGGGGTCACCTGATTCATAGCAGTAGCAAAATGACAGTGATGAAGTAGCAACGAAAATAATTTTATGGTTGGGGGGTCACCACCACATGAGGAACTGTATGAAAGGGTCGCGGTAAGGTTGAGAACCACTGACGTAGGATTTTGATGTGAAAGCGTGAACGTGTTTCGTGGTGTTACTAATATCATCTGGAAAATGAGACTCGGAAAGAGAACAGTGGGCATAGCGAGGAGGGTTTGGTACCTTAGAAGGGCCACATCCAGAGGACTCAGGGACCAACAGCCGCTGCAGTGAGGGCGTTTGACGGGTGATCCAGTGATTCCCGAAGTGCGCGGTAGGTGTCAGGAAGCAGCACTGGCTTGGGGAGGGCAGCAGCAGAAGGCCGTTTGTGGCGAGAAGGAGTCTTCATCTTGAGTGGAGGAAGCTCCGGGACACGCATGTGGGAATGCCCATTTGTGGAAGTACTTAGAGGAATGGGCCCTGGGCTCAGGCAGAACCGGGAGGAAATCCAGGCTCTGCTGGTGAGTTGAGGGACCAAGGGCAAGTTCTTTTCAACTTCTTCTCCTGGAAAATGATTATCTGCAGAGTGCCCACTCCCTAGAGCTGTGATGAGGAGTAAATGAGCTAACCTGTGCAAAACACGTAGCACCATGCCTGGCATGTGTGAAAACGCCGCAACATTGGTGATGCTATTAATTCGTTGGTGTTGTGTCATATCAAAGCACCAAAACCCACTGACATCCGTTCAGTTCCTGCTCAGTGACCCTGTAATGAGACTTTCATCATCTTCCTGAAGATTAGCTGATGGCTGATGGGTTTGAATGGCTGAGAAGTCAGTGGCCCAATGCTTAACCCACTGTACCACCAGGGATCCCTGAGCTTGAGTCAGGAGTGAACTTCTGTTTGACCGAAGACGTGATTGAAGACCACAGAGCCAGGGCATGGTGAGCCTTCAGGTGGAGGGGTCAGGTGAGGTCATCTGTCGGGACTGGAAAGAGCTTATTTATAGTGTTTTATTTTAAGGCACTTTGTCGAGGGACTTTTAAGGTTGCAGTTAAAAGGTTTCTGTTAGGCTACTGAAGGGTCTGATTAAATCTCAGTGAAAGTGAGTGGTAGTTAGTGATAGTGATAGTAAAGTGATGTGTCCAATCTTTCCTACAGCCTCTTGGCATTATATAGAGTTTAGGCTTCCAGTAGAATCCTAGATCACATCAGAACCGCCTCAGGGGCTTTGACAATTACAGATGATGAGTTCTGGCACCAGCTTCATCCAACATGGGTTTGAGCACCATGGTCCTGATCTTTCAAGTGCTGAGTCTAGCAGATACTCATCCTGCAGGTTTTAAGAGGAGAGTGGCCGATAGCTCAGGCTTGGGCTCAGGCAAATTGATCTTGCATTCTATTTGTCCTTTTAGAAGATGTATGCCCTCAGAAGTGTTCCTGAACTTTTCTGAGTCCCATTGACCATGACTGGAAATGGCGGTACAAGGACCTCCCTCTGGGCTGTCGGATTCATGTGAGTTGATGTCTGTTAAGCAATAGTTCAGAGCCAGATACATTTTGTAAGAGCACCACGTGGAGGCAATTAATGTCTTCATTTATATTCTTATTGACAATAATGATGCCACCTTCTGAATTAAAGTGTTTCCCTTAACGTGAACGGTATGGTTCAAAACTCCCTGCCGTTGTGTGTTTTCCAATTCATATCAGCTCAGTATGATTTGGTGGAGCTGGCTCTTTGGATTTCAGAGGCTGGGATTCTTTGAGGAAGCAGAA